CTATTCTACATGTAGACAAGCGCTAAATGGCATTTGGCTACAGCTGCTGGTCTAAAAGCTTGTTTTTCTACTTACCAGCTTTAACGTAATTCTTGATAGCTTCATAATCCAACAACAGTACTTCGGTATCGACAGCCATGAACCAAATCTTTTTATTTTTAAACATTTGCGCGTTCTCCAAAAAGTTCGGCTCCTTAGAGGTTTGTATGTCTTTGAACCATAGAGTATTTAGTTTTGGAGCTGGTTTGTCTAAGTTTGTGGTTGATGCTGATTGGGTATTTGATGGTGGCTGGAATAAAATTTTAAAAGTTAGTCGCTGTATTTGTTGTTTTGGCAAAAATATCAATTTTGAATTTTATTTTCCTTCATTTTGGACTTTGGTAAGAATTTTATAGTCGGAATTAGACAAATTGTTTTAGATTCCAGTCCTTTTCGAGTTTTGGCCAGATTAATGGCAAATACTTTATCAGATAATTGACTTATTCAGTGGTAGAGTAGTCGAGGGCTCTGCAATTTGATTTCCGGATAGGGCAAACCTTAGTTTTTGTGGCGCTTATGTAGCCTCAGGTCGGTTTGCCTGTAGCTGTACAAAACTGAATGTCCAAGTTGAGGGGGAGAAATTCATCCAATGATAAAACACTCCCTCTCGCCTCACCCAAGGTGGGATAAGTCCCAAAAAACCACAACACCACAAAAAACCACCCCATTTCTACTCCTACTCTTCGAGCCGGAGCCCCTGTTAAGTCACCCGCGGCTCCGTATAGGCATCAGTCCTACTGGGCCTTACAAAGCTATGGGACCACCACAGATGGGACGCAATAGGGCAGATGCCGATACGGGGCCGCGGAGAACGCAAAGGGTTACCGGGGCTCCGGCTCGAAGTGCAGGAGTAGGAACGGTGTTTTTTATAGTCAGTAAGATTTATTTATTTATTTATATCTTGTTTTTTATTATTTTTTTATTATTTTGTTAGTATTCTATTGTCACTGTTTTGTTATACGTTGTCGTTTCTTTGTGTTTTTTTTCTATATCTGTATAAATAAGTGTATTTATTTTTTTCTTTTTTAATTTTTGTATTTTTTTTGTATCTGTGTGCTTGCCTACTGTCGAATAAATGATTTTTCTTTCTTTCTTTCTTCTTTCTTTCTAAGAGTCTAAAGTGTCAGACTCTTACTGAAGGGAGTGCCCTTCCGCGGCGGGAGAAGCCATTCGATTCGATTTTTCTTCCCATAAAAAATGGTACTTACAATAAAATCGTCTGGAGGCAGGTCGCTACTAGTCTCGTCAGTGACATCATCAACTAAATCAAAAGTTACCTTCTTACATGTTGGGACTTCAGTGTCAGTTTTCGGTTTATTTTCTGTAAGAGAAGTTAATTTTAACCTGTTGAAAGTCATCCCCTAAATTTGTTCATACAAAAGTAGTCTCTAAATATTGGAAATAAGGCTAAAATGTTGTCAGTGGAGAGCGGTCACCGGTGACCGCTTGGGGATATATGCGTGTGATTGCCTAGCCAACAAGATGTCTTGAATTTCATTTTTGGATTAGGCAAGTACCTATAATCATACGTACATGACGCCTTGACGCCATAGCGCCATAACATATCGGGGATAAAAGGCATAAGGTGCATATTGCGGCACTTAATGCTACTGTACAATG